TATAGTTAAAAAAAGATATAACCACTTAGTCTTTTGTTAAGCCCACCTAAAATATTGTCAGATTTTTTAAAATAATTAAAAATTATAACTATTAATTAATAAAATAATAAACATTTATTACTAAATAAATTAAAATCAATTTATAAATTAATATTTTTAAACACTATAATTAATTGTGAAACTAATAAAATTAGTTAAAACAAATATAGTTATTAAACATTTTGGGTGACTTTAAGAAGGCCCAGTGGAAATAGCCATGCCCTTAAGGTAGAAAAAATATTTGTTAATCTTCAAAAAAATTGAAATTAATTAGAGATAGATTTAAAGTTAAAAATTAACAATTATTTTGGGAGAAAATGTTTAAATAAGGATATAAATTTTGTTTTTTTAATGATAATAACTTTTCAAATTTTTAAATCAAGTGATAATTTTTTACCTTCTTTTTTTCTATTTTAAGATACAAATGTTATCATTTTTTATCTAAGAATACAAACATTGTCAAATTTTGGTTAAAATTGCTATTTTTCACGTTATCATTGCAATTCAATAAATCTATAATAAAAAATGGCAAAATTTGTATCATTTAATAGAAAAAAAAAATGAAAGTTTATCATATGATTTAGAAATTTAGAAAATTTCTATTTTTAAATAAAAAAATAAAATTTATATCCTTGTTTATACTTTTTCTCTTATTTTGGGATGGAAGGAGTAATATATATAATTAATGGTGTAATTAGAGATTGGTCTCAAAAGCTTTATTTGTTGTCAATTTAGTCCTTAGGAGGAGAACAACATATTTTACTAGGTTTTAGTGTGTAAAAATTTTGTAAATTCATTAAGCCGAAATCTGTCAATGTTGATACAAAATTAATTTGAGCTTAGCGTTTGGCTAGTCTTAACCAACATATGTAATTTACAAAACATACCCAAAGTAGGACTCCGGGACCAGGCACTACAAAATTTTAGTCGAGTGTATTTTGGGACTTCTTTAGATAGATAAAGTAGAGAGAAGGGAGTTACTTGTAGATCGGACATTTTATGTTCAGTTGCATAGTGTCACCCAACGATTGGACTCCCTTGGCCCATTGTTCGGTCTTTTGGGCTTGGGCTTTAAGCGCTCCAAAGGGTGTTCAGGACCTCATCTCAACACGTGGAATTGACAAATAAGAGGGGAAATAGTACCTAAAGAGCATGTTTGGAGTGCAAGTTAGGATTGGATTAGATAAAATTATTAATAGAATAAGATTGAATTAAATTAGATGGGATTTAAGATAGCATATTTGACAATTAGGGTTTTTTTCTCTCGTGCTCTGCCCAGGGTTGGGGGCGGTGACTACGAGTTTCTCCCTAGGGTCACTCTCCGGTTAGGAGTTCCTCCCTCTTCCTCTTCTTCTCCAACAAGGGTTTCTCCTCTTGCTCTCTTCCTCCATCCTCGTCGTCTGTCTCGCTTTGGAAACTTCAACCCAAGGGACCATAAGGTAGCGACTCCTTTCGATTTGTATCGGCTGTTGATTTTTAACGACTGTGTCTGGATACCGAGGGACTTGATCCCACCGGTGGTTGGATTTCTCCCATCCTCTAAATCTAATTTTCACTTATGCATGTCTCCTCAGATGAGATCTTAGCAAGGGTGGCAATTGGACAAACTAGCGCACTCCAATTTCTGATCTGGCAGCCAAATATCGATATTGCTGCTAGTGGCACTTCGGGTTCTGATCTACACGGGAGCATACTACTCACATTGGCAAAGGGGCTCTAGTTCCCTTAACAAAGTTTCGCCTGCAAGGGTTTTTAGAGGATCAGTAATGATGGGCACATGATTGAAAGTAGTCGGCGGAAATTAGGGTGGCAACTTGTGGGTTAGGGATTATCTGTTGCCGAAATCCCTTGCTCTCCCCATAAAGCTAGTTAAACAGGCGAGGACTTGTCCAGTAGCTTCCAATGCTCATAGTGACTCTCTTTTCTACTTTAGTAGCCCTATTTAGCACATACAGCGATTGCAATTACAATCTCTAGTTGCAGATGGCTCTCTTTACTTAATTGTCTATATTCGTCATGGGTATAGTTTAAATATGTTACTAGGCTGTAGGTTATGCTTCTGATTATGTTTTTTTAGACTCTCATGCTTTAGGTTATATGCCATATGATGGAGTTTTTTACTGTACTTTCTTATTATTCAATATATTTCTCCATTTTTATCAAAAAAAAAAAAAAATTAGATGGGATTTAATGTATTGAGTCAAGTCTTATGTTTGCTTGACTTTGGAAACAGAATGAGATAAGACACAAATAATTATTTGTATGGACAAATTTGCCCCAGTCAAAATTAAATCTAACTAATTTTAATTTTAATTTTAATAGTAGTAATTTTCTTTATTTGTTTTATAATAATTCCTTAACAGTATTTCATTCATAATTGTTGGAGGATGATTTTCCTTCATTTTCTCATTAACCAATCAGCTAGATCATCAAGAAAAAATATTTCATTTATTTTCTTAACAGCACTACATCCACCCAATAAGAAAACAATCACAACCTAATTAAATTATCATAATTTTCCCTCATTTTCTCATTTTCCAAACAACTAAATCACTGGCATAAAATATTTCATTTGTTATCTCAGCAAAAACCACTTCAACCCAGTAAAAAAACAACACCAACATGAATTTTTTTTCTCTTCCTTTTTTCTTAGAAACCTGGCAACAAATCAATGAATTTCAAATATATCAAATTTTGATTCTAAATATGTATTTTTTTATCATGATTCTAAGAGAAAGATAGAATTTATCAAATTTTCGTTACAAATATATCAAAATAAACGGCAACTAATTTGCTATAATCAACAAATTTCAACAAATTTTCTATAATCTTACAAATTTCATTACACAATACATCTCAATTAAATCTAAAAAAAATAAAATCTCAATTAAATTTAGAAAAGTCAAATCTCAATTTACTTCTACTGAACTTGATTTGCTAGCCTCGGATCTGCAAGAGAATCATAATCAATGATTTATGAGAGAACAAATGCTGAAAACCACTTGACTCTCGTCAGCAACCATGCCGACAAAATTGGAGTCGACTTATTTAGCCACGTGTAGAACAACAAAAGCAATGGACAAGCTTGAATCGTTAGCCAGATGGAAATCAAGGAATAGGGAGGAGAAAGACAGTGGGAAAGAAGAAGAAAAAGCACAAAGAGGGAGGAGTCATTTGAGGAGGAGATGGGTTCGCCAGAGAGAGAGGAGCTTGTAGTGCAGAGGGGTAAAAACTGGAAAAAAAAAAGTTAGTTCCAACGAATCCCATGGGTAAAGTGAGATAAATTTTCTTTAATGGGAAAAGGATAAGATACAAGATGGGATAAATAGTATCCATCTAATTAGTCCACCAAATGTGGGACACATAAAGATAGGACACTTTTTTTGTCCCATCCCATCGTGTGTCCAGTGCTCCAAACGAGCCGAAAGTGGTTTGATTCAGGCAAATACCTAGTTGCTCCTTCAATGTTCAATCATTGGAAAAAGGGAATTGCCTTCATTAGAAATAAAAAAAATTAGAGCACCCATTTAAGTTTTATTGCAAAAATTGTAAACAAAAGGTGAAAATGGGTGGGGAAGAATAAGTAAAGATAAATTTGTGTATGAAGCTGTTAGCCTTAAAAAGGTGTTATGTGATAACTGGTAAGGGATTATAATATGTAACTCGCTGAAAAAATAAAGAAAGTGTCCATAACACTTTCACCCTAGAAACTACAAGGGCCAAAGTGGCAATTTTATTCCAAAAATGAGTACAATAGCAATATCCGAGCAAGGAAATGGGACATGAAACCCTTTTTCTGGGCCCTATTTACGGGACCAGTAAATGGTAGGTCCATCATTTAGCACAGTGCCGATGGGAAATTTAGTCGTGTAATAATTACATGCAAAGATCGGTTTCGCTAAGTGTAGATAAGTAGCTATTAATATTTGCTTCCAACCATTAGGGCTCTAGCTATTTGCCTATTTCCGCCCACAACATTCTTTTTACTTACACGGAAGGATATTCAACTCCATTTTGTCAATTGTCGAATACGGTGAAAGAGGAAGAAAGAGGAATGCTACCTTCTAACACTTTTTTAGATATTTTCTAGGTGGTAAGATCATGTAATACATAGATTTAATTTAATTGGTAATTATTATTTGATATTAAAATTAATATTTTAAAAATTAAATTATATTAAATTTATGAATCATATGATTTGATTATATAAAAAATACTAAAAAAATATTATGTAGAGTGTTTTCAATATTTTTATACGATGAAAAAGAGTTTATATAAGCATGACCGTGGGATCCCATTTACGTGTAAAATGTGCTAAATTACTAGTTAATAAAAACAAATAAGAAAAAAATTATTTAATAATGAGTTGTCAAACTCCTCTTTGCACAAGGAGGCCAAATAAAAATAGCCTAGGGCTCTAGGATCCCCAAAGTATGAAATTAAGGGAGCCCCCGCTGGGTGGGGTTCCCCTTGCTTAGGAGAGCACCAATTCAGTCTCCTTCGCACAGAAGGCCAACCAAAATCCTTTACGCATTGGTGGCAGGCTATTTTAAACGTTTTTAAAAAGTTAAAGAAAATAAGCATGAGGAGCAAAAAGGTTGGGGCATAATTAGTTACACCCTAAAAAATTTAAGAGCAAAATTAATCTTTCCTCTGTAGCAAGAGAGAGAATAAATAATGGGTTTCTTGAATAAATTCTCCCGTGGTTGTTGCACAGAGAGGGCAGTGTTTTGATCACACGAAGAGCCGTTATGCTCGCGTAGCAAAATATTATAAATATAATATATATATATTTTTTGAACAAAGGAGAATGTGAGGGAGAGAGTAGGGACTGCACATTGTAGTTTTAAATTTTGATTGAATTCATGAGTTTAAATATATCTGACTAAAACAGTTTACGCTGCGGGTGTAATATATTTAATTTGTTTAATTTTATTAATTTAAATTATTAAAATATTTAAAAAATATCAATTTATAAATTGATTTTAAATTATTAAAAAATAAATATCAATTATTTTAATTATTATCAACTAACAACTTATTATTTAACACATTAAAAATTTAAAATTTTAATTTAATTTTAATTTTAAATTAAAATTTTTAAATAAATAAATACAAATTCGACTCTTGTTAGTTAATCTGACTGGCAACCTTTATAATTTTTTGTATGACCCTAATTATGGTCCAATAAGAGCCTGGAAAAAAGCTGCAGCTCTATAAATTCATCCCCAACATAATACCTCTTTCTCAACGAACCAGCTTTTATATATTTAATCACATTGATTACTAAATTATTAGCCCAGAAATACTTTTTTTTTTTTTTTTGCAAGAATGGCAGATTGGAGGTCACAATTCACAAATCAAGCGTTTACTGTCTCTTTCTTCATTTCTCTGGGTGGCAATCTTTATTATTATTACTGACGATGATTGGATCAAATGGCAAGCGGCTTGTTTCAGCTTAAGTAAGATCTTTAGTTCGAGATCTTGTGTACACAGTAACTTTCGTTGGAGACTCACCCACCATTTTGGTGCGTCACAACTGGTCGAGTCCGGAGTAGTTTGGGCGAAGTCCCGAATACCGGGCGGGAAACAAAAAAAAAAAATATCTTTATTATTATTATATCTCTTTTTTGTCTTTATACACCTGTTTCTTCTTATAACCTTTTTCAGTCTTGTCTCTGTTATCTCCGTTGAGAACCACCACATTGGCGCTGCACCAATAGACCACTGTGTCCGCATTTTGCAGAGAACCGAGATCAGTCAGGGAGTGAGCCATCTCTTTGCGTTTGTCTTCTTGCCTATCTGAGAATATGGTCTTTTTATGCCCATCCTCGTGAGACATGACCCATTTGACCTCCTCACATCTCTGCTGGGTCGGTAAACATATCTTTTGTTTTTCTGATCTCAAGTTCCAAAAAGAATAAATAAAAGAGAGAAAAGTCTCTTGGTTTGAGGTGGGTTTTTTGGGTTTATTCCATTTGGGTCATGGCAGTTTTCTGTGATCTTGAAGTGGATGTAAATGGAGAAGAGACTTTCCTGGTAAACAAGGTAATCAATCCTATGCTCCCCTTTATCTCAAATTTTTGGTATTGGGTTTTTTGTTCTCACCCAAGGCCAAAATTTTCCTTGGTTTCTATTGTTTAAAAACTCTCTTTAGTTTGTGTACCGAGTCGTTCTTTTGTTCTTCAGTTTTGAAGTTGCAATACACATTCCTCATCTAGTATTTGTTGTTTGGTTTGTGAGAAATATGGAATTTATCTATGCATAATTTCATAACTGTTTACATGCCTTGTTAAATTTTCTTCGGTATTTCCATTGTACTTCCATCATTTAATTTGCACCTACATTTTAGTGATGTGGGGTATATGTTCTGCAGCCCTTCATCCTCTCTTCTGGCTGCTTTCAGGACTCCTTTCACCATATTCACAATTTCTCCAAGAAGTCCTGAACCAAAACTTTTTGTTTTGGTGTTTTCTCGCATTTATGGCTTTTGCTAAGGGGTTTTAATGCTCTGTCATAATTTTCATTCACCCTTTTTGAGAGGAGTAAGGGTTCCTTTCCTGGCATTAATTACTGTTCATTTCCCTTCTTTGCTGGATTGTCTAGTAGGCATCTTTTCTGTTGATTAGTATCAATCAATTTATTACCTATGACGACATCTCAACCTCCATTCTGCAGTTTGATTTGATGTAGAATTTCCCCTTTTAATCTCACTTTCATCTTCCAAAAATTGAGTCCATTCTTTTTGGTGCATTATTTTAGCACTGTTACTCTTAGGATTTTCCTTTGAAAAAGTGATTGGAGACGACTGTCTTTACTTTGATGTGATTCTTTACTTATTTGTTTGTTACGGTGTTACCTATAAATTTGTCTTGTTTTAAACTTTTCCCCATCCATTTTTTTTTCACATCTCTCTTTGGAAGACAGGATTCGAACCATCTTTCCTAGTTTTGTATTTTTCCTTTTTCCTTTGATTTCTTAAGAGTATGTGTTTCTTATATTTCTGGTTGGTTTGAAGTTTGTTGCATAAATTTTAATTCAAACTCTTCTTGATCTGGGTATTTGCAGAAAATTATTTGTTCATACTCTGGCAGATTAAGCAAATTATTTGGCAAATCACCATTTTCAGAGAAGAACCTTAAAGTGATCTTTAATGATTTTCCTGGAGGGCCAGAAAGTTTTGAGCTGATGTCAAGATTTTGCTACAACAATGGAAAGATTGATATAAATCCTTCTAACATTTCTTTGTTGCATTCCACAGCTAAGTATATGGAAATGAACAATTCTGTGTCTGGTGGGCGTAATTTACTGGAACAGACGGGGAAATCACTTGAAGAGATTGGTTATTGGAGTTGGCCTGAGCTTTTGGTTGCTTTGAATCATTGCCAAGATTTAAATCCAGTGACCAATTCTTCGGGGGTGCTTGAAAAATGTTTGGATTCCCTTGTTGGGAGGCTATCTCTAACCATTGAAGCAAGTCCTTGTGCTTCTATTTCTTCCCCAGATGGCTCAGGTTTTCGAATTTCCAGTGACACCAGAAGCACGGAGAGTATGAAGTACAGCATATCTCGAGCCAACTGGTGGTTTGAAGATCTTTCTGCTTTGAGTTGTGCTTTGGTTGAAATGGTGGTAAAAGCAATGATCTCTCGGAAATATGATCATGGCATCATCAGTCGGTTTCTCTTCTACTACCAGAAATCAAAGTCTTACACTGCCCCACTTGATGAGAAACTGAAAATTTTAGAAACTGTAATTGATATGCTCTATGTTCTTGATCAGAGCTCTATTTCTTGCAAGAATTTGTTTGGGATTCTTCGAGTTGTTCTGATTTTGAACATAAGCAAAAGTAGCAGGAAGAAGTTGGAGAGTATGATAGGTTCTCGGCTGGATCAAGCAACACTAGATAATTTGCTAGTTCCATCTCCTTCTGGAACGAGTTACTTGTATGATGTGAACCTTGTTCTTAGGCTTTTGAAAGCATTTCTTCGAGGAGGAGGCTGTCACATATGTCCATTGCGAATGAAGAAGGTTGGCGGCTTAATAGATTTGTACATAGCAGAAGTAGCCCCCGATCTTTGTCTCAAACCCTCAAAATTTCTAGCTTTAGCCATGACCTTACCGGATTCCGCGAGAGAAACTTGTGACAAATTTTATCATGCCATGAACATTTATCTAGAGGTATGCAATGATCTTACAAGATTTCATCTATTTTGGAATATCACAAGCTTTATGCTACCCCATGTCTAACAAGTTACATTGTTCTGAAACATTAACGATGGAACTTCTTATAATGTGCTAAGGATTCAGATTAAATCTGGTTTGAATAGGTGCATGCAGGATTGTCCGAGGAAGAAAAGATGCAGATATGTTATGCACTGAACTATGAGAAGCTCTCAGCTGAAGCTTGCATACACCTTTCTCAGAATGCAAAGTTTCCTTCAAAAAGTGCAGCACAAGCCCTCATTTCCCAGCAATCTAAGCTTAAGAGCTTAACAAAAGCCATTAACAATTCCAAGCCTTCCACAGACTTCCCTCATAGTTTCATTCCTGAAATTAGAGGGAAAGGCAAGAAAGAAGCTGGTCAACAAATTCTTCTATACTCCAGCAAACTTGACTTCTCAGACAACAATGAGAAGCTCAGAGCACATTTGCAGGGGATGCAATGGAGGGTGATGGAATTGGAGAAAGTCTGCCAAAGAATGCATTCTCAGATGGCGAAAATCATGAAATCAAGAGTATCAAGCCATAGTAGTCCAAGATCCTTGCCCAGGTTATGTTCATGACTGAAATTTTTGTACATTATATGAACGTTGAATTTTATAAATTCTCATTTATGTATAGTTTGAGGTATGAAAATTCATAATATGTGTTTTTCCTCTATTTATTGCATCTCTTTTTCTTTTGTTTTCTTGCAAACTGAGGCAACTGAGTATATTTTCCTACGCAAGGAATGAGACCATGTTTATACAGTTACAGAGGAAAAAAGAGAAAGAACTTTTGTGCTTTTCATCATTCGACTCCACCACCGACACCCCTTTAGTGTCCCTTTATTGTTTTTTGCGTGAGATTGGATTCGGTTCAAGGTTATGTCCTTTTCTCCAATCACTCTCATACAGTGGCAAATTGCAATCCAAGCTGGAAAAAAGATGTGCTTGCATGAGAAATCCTTATAGAAAACACTGAATGTGGAACTTTAGGGGTTGCTGAAAAAATCTGAACATGTTTTATCCAAGTAAAAGAACTGTCTTTCTCATAAATTCTTCAGCTTTAGTATAAATAGTCTGTCTTTCTCATGATACTTATAACACTCCAGATCTCATATCAGTAAAAAATTATGGATCATCTTGGTATCAAAATGGCTAGTTTGGTTATGTCGTTACAATACCATTGACCTTTATCAAACATTCAATATTCATTTTTCTGTTTTTTCTAATTTCCTGCCAGATGGTATTATCTATTATGAGGCTGTTTACAGCTTACACTTTACACTCACTAAACAATTTTGAGTTTCATTTTAACATGAAAAATTGGTTTTAGGGCTTTGGACACATCGATTTTTGTGCTTTTGGACATTAAGTTGTGTGCAATAGTTGTAAGGTGTAATTTTCTCTTCTTATAAAAGAAAACAAAAAACTAAGACATTTTTTATGGCGAATTCGAATGCTCTCTCTTTGACCTTCCCCTCTCCTCAAGAGAATGATCTTCTTGCTTGGAGTGTTAAAAGGGTTAAAGAATGTCAATTTGATCGCTTCTGCTCCCACTCAAGAAGAGCATATGGCAGAAGCTGAAGCTAATCCCCTGTCCTATAAAGATAAACTGCTCTGCGATGGTGGTACCAAAAGTTTCGACATGGATCTCTCGTTTGCTGCCTTTCCTGAATATATGGATGAAGAATCAGATATTGATGATGATCTAGATGACCCTACTCCTATTATCCTCTTCTCCAAAGTGGAAAAAAGATGCATGCATGAGCCATGGAAAAATGTTCTCATCATTAAAACCATTGGCAAGACAATAGGATATAACTTTCTTTATGGAAGCCTTAAAGCCAATGGAAACTAGCAGATAAATGGGATTGCATTGATCTAGGATATGATTTTTCCTTGTTTGATTTCAGGTGCATGAAGATCTCAGCAAGGTCATCAATGGAGGTCTTTGGTTTGTTGGTACAAACTATATTACTATCAGACCATGGGAACCAAATTTCAAGCCAGAAATCACAACTTTTTCGCACGCTGTGGTGTGGGCACAGCTATCGGGTCTCTCAACAGAGTATTATGACCCAACTTCTCTATAATGTATTGGTAATTCAATAGGAACCCTTCTTAGAATGGATGCCCACACAACGCATCATACACGTGGTCAATACGCTCGTGTGTGTGTGTTAGAATAGATCTAGATAAACCCCTTGTCAAGTCCTTCGATTGGGTAAAATCTGCCAAAAAGTTGTTTATGAAGGGATCAGAGGACTCTGTTTTGTGTGTGGTCGGATTGGCCATCATAAAGAGGTTTGTATATTTAAGTTACCGCCAACTACAACTACCAAAGTGAGTAATGCTAATTCCCAGACCCAAACAAGCATTAATGAAGTCACTAGAAATACTATTACGAGGGGTCACAAGTTGAAAAATTCCAATTCTGTAAGTGGGTCAAGCACTACTCAAGTTGTAGGTCTTAATAATGCCTTTAATCCTACTTCTAATTTTGAGCACATTTTGGAGAATCAACATGATGAGTTTGGTCCTCGGCTTATTGTGGAGCATAAGAAAAAGAAGAAAATCCAAAAGCAAGCTACGGAATATTCCGTAGAAGGAAGGAGCAATGGCTCTAAGGAAACAAAAGACCCTTTGGAATTGAGTCGAAAGGTTGGTTCAATGAACCAAACAAGTCAAAATTCAGTCAAGTTTGGGAGAGCTAACGGTACACCTATAGAAGCATTTAATACGAAAACACAATCTAAACATGCTAAGCAAATGGACCAAAAATCAACTGTTGCCAACTCTATGAAAAAGCACATGGACATAGGCCCAATGATAGAGTTTGCATAAAAAAATACTACATCCAAAGGGAAAGAAGCAGTTGAGTCATCCAAGACACCAAGTCTAAACTTAGGTTCAATGTGAATTTGGGCCAAAGCAACAACTCAGTGTAGGACACTTCTCTAGTTCAAAATGCTTTTAGCCCAAAAATTGGAACTTTTGGACCTATTTCTAATGTCTCAATTGGTTTAGAAAATTCGCTGCTTATTGTCAAAGAAAGGATAAAAAACCTTGAAAAAGCTCTACCATTTGGTCTGTTTCGACAGCTTCATCTATTCCTCCTAAACCTTCTTTGAAGACTAGTTATGAGTGAACCAGTGGTGGCATCACCAATTCCCCAACTCATCCCCAACTTGAAAGTTCTACTAGTCAACAACAACAATGTGATCTCGATGGAGGAAGCCTTAGAGTTGATGCTATCAAGAGAGGAGAAAACACATCCTTTGTGGAAGGAGAGGGATCTATTCATGTAGTGTTACAATCCTCTACTAACTCTCAAATCCATAGATCTGGGTCCTTTAGCTTTCAAGGAAGATCAAACAGTTTTGATAGATCAATACAAGGTTCTAAAGCTAGAATCCACTTTTGAAGAAGCAGGCATAGAAGAGAAAAAGGACCATATCCAACCTTTGAGATTCCTATCTCAAGCATGGTAGGAGCATCTCCAAACTTTAGAAATAATGGGCAAAATGGAGAAGATCCATGTCATCGTCAAGTCCTCAATCTTGCTCGCGATGACGGAGATGGATTACGATTGCTTGATGCTTTTGTACCACATTAAGGAGGCCTCAATGATGCTGATGCACAAGGAAACTCTAGAGCCAATGTTTCAACCATACACTAGATAAATTAGTTATGAGTCTCAGTAATTCCTTTCCTTGAACAATGAAGTTGCATTTCGGCAATACAAGCTTCATATTCAGCTAGGTTATTGGTGCAAGCAAAATCAAGCTTTATAGTAATAAGAAAATGATCACCCTTTGGCAATACCAACATGGTTCTGAGGCCACAACGAATTTGATTAACAGCTCCATCAAAGAAGAGCTTCCAATTATTCGAATTAGACTCTGCTTCCATTGCCAAAATGTCTTCATTAGGAAAATCCCAGTCAATAGGCTTATAATCCTTCATTGCATGCTCAGCTAAATGATATGCAATGGCTTGCCTTTTAATGGCCTTTTGTGTTGTGTGAACAATGTTAAATTCGAAAAGCAACATATGCCATTGAGAGATTTTTCTAGAAAGGGTGGGCTTTCAAAAAATGAATTTTATTGGATCCATTCTTGAAAGGAGGTAAGTAGTGTTGGTTAACATGTAGTAGCGATGTTTCTTGGATGTCCAACCTAAGGCACAATAAGTTTTCTCTAAGATTGAGTATTTACTCTCACAATCATTGAACTTTTTGCTCACATAACAGATAGCTCTCTCTTTCCTACCCAAGTCATCATGTTGAACAAGAACAGCACCCAAGGATTTCTTAAGGATGATGATATATAGGATAAAAGTTTTCTCATTAGCTTACGGTACAAGGATTAGTAGGTTTTTGAGGTATTCTTTGATTTTGTCCAAGGCTTGTTGTCATTGGTTATTTTAGGTATCAGGGTTGTCTTTTCTTGAGGAGTTTAAAGATAAGTTCACAAATGGTGGTAAGGTTGGCAATGAAACGGGCAATGCAATTAATTATTCCCAAGAAACTCTAAACTTCTTTTTGAGTTTTTAGTGGTGGCATTTAATCAATGGCTTTTATTTTGGCTGGATCAATCTCTATCCCTTGGCAGTTTACAATGAAACTGCGTAGCTTTCTCGAATCCACATCAAAAGTACATTTGGTAGGATTAAGCCTCATCTAGTATCTTTTAAGGCGTTCAAACACCTTTAGATTTTATATATGTAAAACCTCTTCTTTGGACATAATCACCATGTCATCAACATCTAGTTCAACAATTGTATGCACAAAGTCATGTAATAAAATAATCATGAAGTGTTGGTATGTTGCCCTGGCATGTTTGAGTCCAAAAGGCATAACTTTGTAGCAAAAGGTACCCCATTGAGTGATGAATGTTGTCTTGAACTTATCCTCTTCCTTCATCTTTACTTGATTATACCCAGACTAGCCATCAACAAAAGAGAAGCGAACATTTATTGGCAGCATTATCTTACAGGATTTGGATGTGAGGCAACAAAAACCATCCTTAAGGCTTGCTTTGTCCAAGTCTTTATAATCCACACAGACTTTAACCTAGCCATCTTTCTTCATTATAGGAACAATATTGGCTACTCATTCCAAATACATAGCTACTTCAATGAAATTAACATCTAGTAGCTTTTGCACTTTTTCTTTGACTTTCAAAAAAATCTTTGGCTTCATCTTGCTCAGCTTTTGTTTGACTAGCTTAGCATCAAGATAGAGTGGAATGGCATGAACAGCAATATCAGGATCAAGTACCGACATGTCTTTATAGGACCAAGTAAAAACATCTTGAAATTTAGACAAGAGTTCTATCAACTCTTTCCTTTCCTCTAGAGACAGATGAGCATTGATTTTTATCTCCTTTCTGTCATCTTCAATGCCTAAATTAATGGTTTCTCTCTCTTGATTCGGCTGCAACTTTGGCTTTTCCTCTCTTAACATTTGAGTTAGTTCATAGGAAAGATCAAGATTTTCATTGTCATCTTCATTATAGGTCTGATCATCATTCTCATATATAAAGTCTAACATGGTGTCATTGTTTAAAGATTCATCATTAGCAGGCTTGAAAATTTGTATGAAGAGTAAATAAATGGCTAAATATTATAAAAGTAAAGATAGAAAACATACTATTGAATAATTTCATAAAATATATCATTAAAAGAGTGGTTGTACAATGAAGATTCAGATAAAGTTGTATCATGATGATTTTTACAATGATAGGTGGGATCGCAACATGTTTTATTAAAAAGGAAAGCATGGGAAATGCTAGGAACATGATAACATAAATTTCATAAAATACAAAGGTGCTTGTTGAATCCCTCCCTTTACGTAGTCACAAGTAAAACTGCTAGAAGGTTGACTCTTCTTGCTTAGGGATTAAAGCTACAAGGAGAAGTTCCACTGTCCAATTAGCTTAAGAGCTTCCATTGACAAGAGAAATTGCTCTATCAAATTCCAATCTTTCCTCGTTTAGAGCATTTATAGTCAAAGTTCCCCATGAGTCACATAGTGATTCTTCTTACATTGATTCAAGAGGCATAGACTTATGTGAACCCATTAGAGCTTTTACATGATAAATAAGATGGAAGTTAAGGTGCTTCTCCATAAATGCCTTTTTAGCCAATATCCTTTTCCACCATTCCTTAGGATCTATCATGTTGGCTGATCTAAAGAGATTATTGAAACCAAAGTAGTCTTTCTCATCATCAGAACAAACCTCATTAGCAATATCTTCCACAACCACATCCTCAAATTGTGCTTCCTTTGAACACTCTCCCACTTTAAGCAATTTATTGGAGAAAATAGTATCCTTTGGATCCACATATAAAACATCTATACACTTCACCATGTATCTATCAAGAGAAGGGCACAAAATCTCGATAGGTCGCGAGAATGTGACTCTCATGTGTGGCATCCTCATTAGTTCATCTTGAGGGTCTTTCCCTTGAACTCTAACAAGGCATTTTTTAGCTTTAATAGCACGAATCCTTTGCCAATCTTCCTTTTTTGGATTGTATTCCAAACCAAATGTTCCTCAATTTTGAATTATTTTGATAAGTTTAGGCATCCCCTATTCATGCAATCCCAAGCCTTGTCTCAATTGATAATGACATGAAACCATGATCCTAGCAAAAACCTTGGTAAGTTTGGACATTTCAACCTTTTTTCCTTTGAATTTTAGATGAGTATAAGAAGCAGCAACACACTTCATCAAGTGATAAGAGGGTTCATAAGTTCCAAGATCAATTCCTAAGTAAGGGATGTCTGTAGCCTTTTAGATGACATGCTCTTCTTTGTAATTCATTATAATGAGGACATCATTGACAATGTACTTGACTTTCTAATGCAAAGTAGATGCTACTGCTTCGATAACATGTATCCAAGACCTTCCAAGAAGCATGTTAAAAGCAAGAGCAATATCCATAACAAAGAAATTCACATCAAAAGTCATAGGACCAATTTCCACTAGAAGCTCAATCTTTCCAATCACATCCCTTTTTGTTCCATTAAAAGCATGAACCACAATATTACAATGACTAGTGTGGGACTCACCAACTTTCAATTGCTTCAAAATAGTCATAAGGATCACATTCAAAGCCAACCCATTGTTAATCAACACATGAGGTAGATTCATCATCTTACACTAGACAAACTTTGGTATGTCCATTTCCATTGTAAGGAATCTGTAATACCCCAAAATTTCCTAGAGCATTAAAGTTGAGTTAGGGACCAAATTGTGAGGAAACGTTCTTATGGACCTAATAGTCAAATTTTCAAAATTTAAAGGGGTTAAAAAAGGTTATTGGATAAGGCCGGCTGACTCATTCCCTTTTTCTTTTTCTTCTTTCTTTCTTTCTTCCCAGCCATTTTCACGTCTGCTCTGTTCTTTCTTCCTCTGCAGCCGAACACCACCAGCCTTCACCGACACCTACTCTTCTCGAAAATTGGTAAGATCATGGTAAATTCTTTCCCTTGTCTTATTAAATAACAAGATTTAGAGCTTAAAACTCTCTCCCTTAACCCAGGAATCCCGGATCTGCTGCTTTCTTCCTCCCCTGCCGCCGACCACAGCTGGGTGTGAGTCCGGTTTTTCCTGGTAAAATCAGCCATGAAATTCATCTATTCTCTCTTAATTTGGCTTGGGCTCACTCTAATCTTGTTGTTCTTCCAATTTCTAGCAAACCCGTGGAAGCTCCTCCAATTCCCGTCGGTCCTCCCATACCCGTTAGCTCCAACTTTGCTTGTTGGGAATTTTTGGTAAGTTAGCTTCGCTAGTCTCCGAGAATTGGTTGATTAAGTGCTGATTTGTGAGTTTAAGTGGTTGTATGAAATGGGCTTGGGTTGTCCGAAAATTCTGTTGAAATAGGGATGAGTTTTGGCAATTTGAAAATGGGTTTTGGTTGATGATTTATGTAGGAAATTAGTGGGTTTGGTTGTTGTGTGATGTCCGAGAGAAAAGGGGAGAATTCCATGAATTGGCCATTTTTCTGTCAAGGCCAGTTCTCCCCAAATTCTTGTCCATGAGTTTGAAAATGGTATATGTGTAATTGTATAATTATATATACATAGATATTAATTTGGGAATATTGTGATTAGGTCCTTGATCGTCCTGTGGCCTTAGCACTCGGATTAGGCCCTCTGTCCTGTGAAATTAAGGTAAGTAAATTATGGTAATGCCCTTAAATTTTTGAAGCATATTTTAATTGTTTTCTGAGATGGTGGCGAGGCTTAAATGGATTTAATTGCATTTGAGCATGATTAAAAAAGGGAATTTGAATTTTTATTATTTTCCTTATTTTCTAGAATTGAGCATGCCCACGTGAGATTCTTCGGTTTGTTTTTGAAAGTGAGAACGATCATGAATCGTGGTTTTCTGTAAATTTTGCTGGGTTTTGTCTTCGATGTGGTCATGTATTTAGTGACCCTGCTAGTGGGGGAGGTTTACAAACGCTAGCACATGTCGACATGTTAGTGATAGAATCGGTTCGCTCGTGATATCCTACTAGTGGGATTATTTTTTTTCGGTTTCCCGTCTGGTTTTCGAGGCTTCGCCCCGACTAATCCGAACTCGACCGGCGTCGCGCACCTGGAAATGGTGGGTGAGTCTCCCAGCGAGGGCTGCTGCGTTCACAAGGTTTCGAACTCGAGACCTTGCTTAAGCTGGAACAAGCCGCTTACCACTTGATCCAACCCCTCGTTGGTCCTACTAGTGGGATTATACACTAGTAATCATGTGCCCGCCAGTGGGAGGTTTATAACACTGGCCATGACTAACAGAGGAGACCACTATGTGATTTTAGTTTGCATCATTGGTTTGCTATTGAAACGCTCTGTTTATATTCAACCGATTATTTGGCATGCTTTAAATTTTGATTCCGGGCACCCATGTTTACTTACCGAGATATTTTTATCTCACAGTTTCCTTGTCCGCCATTTCAGGTAGTGAGACCCGACGCGTGGGAAGCCTAGGGGAGTGACGAGCTAGACGGCTAGGCATTTTTGGACTTAGGTTTTTGTAGCTAAGCCGTTAGTCACCCATGCTTGACATAGTAAATTTTGTGTACAGAATTTAGTGTTAGTCATGATTGTATATATGAAGTGATAAAATTTTGTACATCTGACTGGTAAATAGTTGGTAATTAAAAAGGCTTAGATCTAAATTACCTGAATTGCTAAGTATGAACTTAGTAAGTTCTGAGCCTTGTGCATTTGTGGGACCCTCTCACAAGTGCACGGCGTCTGCCACGTCTCCGGATTTGGGTTCTGGGGCGTGACAGAATCTCATTATCAATGAGATTGATGTAATTTGGAGCCAAAATTACCTTAAGCACAGTCCTAAACTTCCGATTTTCTGGGTATCAATGTTCTTAGGCACATGAGCCTTTTTCAAGACTCTAAGTAAAGCATCTTGATGAGCTTTAGATGATAACATCAATTTTAAGATGGAAATTTTTGCAGGGTTTTATTGAGCTATTCAATGATGCTATACTCACTCTTCCTCAAAATATTCAGAAATTCAACAACTTCCTTTTTTGACACTAGTTAGATCATTCCTTTGGCATCTCTTCAATTTTGATACCCTTTGACTTCAAAGCAACTCTTTTCAACTCCTCCACTTTAGGATTCACATAGCACCGACTATTACGAGTCATATTAGACACATTATTAGTTGTAGAATTCAAAATGGTAGATCCCTCAGTGTAACACAAAGGCATGGCTTTTAGTGAATAAGGAACATGGTTATTGGCCATGGATGATGTTTCTCCATAGATGACTCCTTAAGAGAGGTTTTCAAAACATACGGTTGCTGTGGATTTTGACTGACAATATGTGACCTTATAGTATCTTATAAAATGTAAGGTCTCTTCTTAGTGAAGTGTTCCTTAGTCACTTGTGCTATGAATTTCTCTGATTCATGAGCAAACATAAACTTCAAAGATGCCATTCTTTGTAGCTTTTTAACCTTCCTTTGAAAATCCCCACAATCTCACAAAGTATGCCCCCTTATATTGGAATGGTAAGGACACACCAAAGAATCATCAATCATCACAAGTGAAATATTGAAACTCATTTGTGAAATTGGCTAAATCAAGTCATACTCTATCAAAATAACAAACAATTCATCAAGAAACAAAGAATTGACATTCTCCAACATAGGCCTTTCAACTTCATTGATGGTGACCATATTTATCAGAGTTACATCACGTAGAGGTAAAGGATTTTGGGTGATATTTGGAGCATTCTTAGCTTCATTAGGATCAAGCTGAAGTTTACCCTCATCAATGAGTTCTTGAATTCTATGCTTCAAAGTTACACAATATTCAGTAGCATGGCCCACCAAATTGTGATGTTCACATCTAGTTCACGAGTTATACCAATAAGGATAAGGTGGTTAGATAGGGTTTGCTTGTATTGTCTTCATCAAACTAACTTCAACTAATTACTTCAACACCTGATTGTAAGGGATTGGGAGCTTTGTGAACTTTCTTAGCTTATTCACAAGCGGGAATTGTTGTTTAACTAGAGCTTGAATATTAAAGTTGGCCTCCTCTGAGAGTAGGTGGTAGGCTGATAAGTTAGAACATATTGAGGTTGCTGCTTATAAGGAACATTTTCTACATTATAAATTGGTTTAGCATAAGCAATGTAAATATGACTCCAAGCTTCCTTATCACCCTTTTTTCTTTAGGTACAAACCTCTTTGAAATTGATCCGATGCCACCAGTTTTGACTTGTTCTAATTGGTTTCGGATAGCTTGAAAGTCCATAATAATGCCACCCTTAAGCCCATCTTCAATTTGTTCACCCGCTGTCACTAACTAAGCAAAAATATATCCCACACAAGCAACTAACCATGTACGAAAGGTTTTAGTAGTTGACTTGATAAAGAGAGAACATATTTCATTGTCAATGAAGGGTAGCATAACTTTAGTTGCTTTAGATCTCCACCATTAAGCAAATTCCTTGAAAGTCTTATTACCTTTCCTAGTGATTCTCTACAATCTATCCCTTGTAGGGGCCAAGCACATATTATAGCCATTCTGCTTCATGAAAGCTTGAGAGACATCCTTGAAAGTGCAAATCTTCTTCTTGTCAAGTGTTGAGAACCAAACGCTTGCAAGACTTGAGAAACTGTCTTGGAAATAATAAATGAGTATTGTTTCATCATTGGCATAAGGTGCCATTGTCTTAGCATACATCTGTAGGTGGGTATAAGGACAACTTGAGCTATCATTCTTGTCAAAATCTGATTGCTTGAACTTGAAATTTGTCTAAATTCTTGGATAGTAGCAAAGATCATCTAAATGAATAGAACCATAAACTTATGGCCTTTGTATAGCTTTTATAGCCTTTTCTAACTATTGCAATTTGTGATCAACCTTTGACATCCCATCCCCCCAAGTAGGTTTCAATATCTCAACTAAAGGGGTTGGCTGAATAGTTGGCATTTGTCCCACCAAAAGTGGCATGTTAAGGGTAAAAGGTGTGGTTGTGGGCAAGATAGCGTTGTTCATCTCGAGTGGTAGGTGTGGGGTTTCAATAACCAAAGGTGGCATCTATGGCACATGTGAAGATGATTTCCCAATTAGTGGTTGATTCTCATAAGTAGGTGAAAAATGCAGTTGTGTGACCATGGAAGCCTTGGCACGATTAATCAATGTAATGGTAGATGATGGAATAGGGGCAAATGTGACAGGTGTTGTGGGTACTAAGGATGCAGATGAAGGAACTGATCTAATAGTCAAATTTGACAAGGTAAGACTAATAGCTTGAAAAGTAGTAGCCATAGTTTACATTGTGACTTCTAACTTTTCAACCCTTTCATCCACAGTTGATTTTTTTGGATTAATTGTAGTATTTTTCTTAGACATTTTGATTACTTTAGATTTGAGCAGATAAGGAGAACGCCACCTTTTTTAGATTTTTGCCTTGGAGTTATGATTAGAAGAGACTTTACCTAAAAACAAAATGTAAAGATGAGAAGAAAAGAAAAATTAGGAAACAAAAGTGATTTTAACCCTTTTTGTTTGGACCATCAATTTGTCTTTTGAATTTCCATATGGATTCTTACATCAACATCCCAACCTTGCACAAAGATATTTCCTTGTTTTGCAAAGAGTTGTGATAAGACATGATTTTCATTAACTAAATGAACGCACTTTAAACAAAAGTTGGCAAGCATTACAAAGTTGCATTCAGAGTGCTTACAAGCCTTCATTCTTTTAAAGTTAAGACAAGCTAACCAAAAGGAAGTCACTTTAAACAAAATTAGCAAGCATTACAAAGTTGCCTTCAAAGTACTTACAAGCCTTCATTCCCTTAAAGTTAAGATAAACTCATTACAAAGCATAAATCCTAATACAACTTCTTAGGCACATTGGATATGTCAAAGATAAAGTCGAAAACTAGTTGGAAGAATCCCTTCTTAATGGGATGAGTTCTTTGAGCAATGTGCTAATGAGCCTCAACCATCTTCCCTTCAAATTGATTCACCAAAGTTGTCACGTCAATGACAACTTCACACAAATTGGTGTTCTCTTCAATAAGAGATTAGTTCTTTTGCTTCTTGTCTTGGAGTTGATAACACAAATCTTTCATGGCAATTTGGTAAAGATTGTGGTTGATCATCATGTCTTGAAGTTGCTCTTCCAAGTGCTCATTGGCTTTACGAAAAGGCCCTCAATGTCCTTGGTCAATTGATGAAGATAAGAGATGGATTCTTCATTGAGCTTTTGAGTATGAGCAGAGAACTCCAACAAAGTCTTAAATGGAAGGGTTTGTGTCTTGGATATGTGTGAATCCATATTTCTTTTCAAAAGTCACAAATAGTCCAAATAAAAAAGGCTAGAGAAATAAACACAAAATAAAATAGAAAAAGATATTAATAAGAGAACAATCAATAGTAATAATCGAACAATCAATAGTAATAATCAAATAAACATGTATAAGAGATGTGAGACTTGAAAATGAAATGAAAATTTCTATCCTAATCATGGATTTTACTTCATCAAATATACTTTAACAAGGGAGAAAGATTGTATTCATTCAAGCGAGTTTTGATTAACAAGTCCAAATTTCTAATGTTTGTACAAAAGTTTCCAATTAACAAATTCCCCTAAGTTGTTCAAGCTGTATTTCTTTCCCTCCTTGCTCTGACTGCTTTGCTGCTCATAAATCCTTTTGTAGAGCACCATAATCAAACAACAAATTATTGTTAGCATTTTTCCATCGGACCATTTTTTCCTCTAACTCTCACTGCTTAGTCACCTTCTTAATAAGCTCCTTGTCTTCCTTTTCCTTTGCTTTAAGATTCGTCATTATTTGTAATAGCCTTTTCCTTTGCTCTTTGGCAAACTTCAAGCTCCTCTTTTGCTTCTCACAAATTTTCCTATTAGTAGCTAGATCCTTTTCTAACAAGGCTATTTTGTCTTTCAATCCCACTACTTGCTAATCAAACAACTCTTTTTCCCTCTTAAGCAACTCATGACCAAGGGCTAACTCATCATACTTCTCTTGCAACTAAAATCTTTAGGTATGGCTGAAGTCCAACTCAGTAGTCAAATCCATGATGGTAGAGTTTTTTGTGTTTGTCACCTCTCATGGCAAAGAAAGATTGGCTATCCAAATAGACCTCCATTGTTCATATTGTGGTATGGTCATTTTCTCTTTCCATATGGGCAACATCCTACATTTGTCCCATATTCCATGTGCCTCGAATATCTTGTCAACAATCATTGTGGAAGATATGTAATCAAAGTGTGACTACAAAGCATCATCTAGATAAGGAACAATTTGTGCTTTTCCAATTTGACAAGATGCCAATTCCACTGAATAAGGAACTCCCCCATGAATACCCAATAAAGGAATAAAGTGATGTCTTTCGAGTAGAGAAAGATAATGAGTAGCATTCCAAGTTAGAAGAACAAATCTAACATCATTAATAGTTGCAGACAAAAATGTTTGATGCCAATTCTCTACTTTCTTGTCTTCCATAGGAACACTAAGTAAAGCTTCAAATTGAGGACCCATCAAGTGACCATGTGCCCAAGTAGTGAACAACTCAATGCAACTCAAGAAATGACTGGATCTCTTTGCCCGAATATCTCTCATGGACCTCAAAGTTTCAACCGCCACTGTAAGAGCAAGATTAAATGATGAAGTATGCAACAATTGCTCAAACAAGGCTATCACCATTGGTGTAATGGTTTTAATATGAACAGGAAATATCACCATGCCACAAAGTTAATCTTTTGAGAACATGTCATGCCTTCCAAGCTCTTTCCCAAGGCAATAAATGCTGCATTCTAATCAAACCCATAAGAATCATTTCTAGTTGTCACCAACGGTTGTGAGAATTCAAATGGGAGCCCCCACATAGCTTGCAACATCTCTTGTACCTTATGAGTGTGAATTGCATATGTTGTGCTTAAGAAGTAAAGGTATAAGAATCCACTGTAGGACTACACCGAAGAAGTTAGTGATACTTATTAATGGTAGGCACCAACTCAAACTGTGGGAACACACAACAATTTGATATCTAGGCACATAGAACTTCAACATAGCTTTGAATAAATCCCAATCCGACACCACTAACAATAGATTCACAATGCACCCAAATCGAACCTCAAAATCATGCTTCTCCCTAGAAGACAACAAGTCAGAAACTTCTCTCAACAACTTCAAGTCAGGTTTAGAAGTATTGATTGAAAAGATTGACTCCCTAGCCTTCTTAGAAGTAGAATGATATGTAACATCTTCCCTAAGTCTCTTTCCCCGCCTAGTTTTATCCTTGGTAAAATCCATGTTTAATGCACAATATCTTACCTAAACAAAAAGCTTAAATAAGTTAAACAAAAATCATACTCTCACATGCCATACCTCATTAAATATATAAAGATAAGCTGCCATATGCGCAAACAAAGATTAGTGAAGCAAAATGCCATTTTGTGTTGAAGCAAAATGCCCTTTTGTGTTGAAGCAAAATGCCCCTTTGTGTCTTAAACATGGGACAACTTAACCTCACGGGTGGGAATGCTAAGGGAAACATGTCCTATGGCGGGTATCTCTCTAAATTCATTACATGTGTTCCTAAAGGGCATTAGGCCTTCTCAACCATTTATCCTTTCAGAATCAATGGGAGATGATTCCAAAAGCTAATGCATAGAAAGATATTACATCATTAGGTATTATATTAACCAATGGAACAAACCTAATGGGAATCATTATCACTCCTCAAAGCGGGAAGAATTGCTTTTCCAAACTAGATTCATAAGGATTCTAGACTAGAGGGCAGATTCATCTCAAACATGGACCTGATGCAAAAATGATAGTGAGTGTGTGCAAGGGACATGACACTCCAATAACCTGCATAATGGAAAATGGAAACCACAAAAAATGGCAACATATATCCCACGACAAGTAGATAAAGCAAATAAGCAAATAAAGCATATAAAGCACTTAACAAATTTAGCACCCACAAACAAACCTACTTACACAATAAGAAGAGACTCACATAGTACTCCTATGCCAAATGCAAAAGGTTAGTGACACAGAGCAACCAACACCTAACATGTAACAAGGTATAAATAATCGCACAAAAGGGAAATGATTCTGGAAAAAAGGTGAGTATATCTGCACGCAAGCAAGTAAGCATGTAAGCATGACAAATAAGCATGTGACATCAAGATGTAGGAGAATGTGAAAGGATATAAATCCATGAACATATGAGCAAGGTATGATGAATGTCCAGGTATAGCAAGATAACAACTCAAAGGCAAAAGGTAAAAGCAACCACCAAATCAACAAGCAACGCACAACAAGCACAAGTAACAAGCAACAAGGACAACCAAAGACTCAACAAGCAAAGAAAATCAAGAGTTAAAAAAAATCTCTAAAGTTAAAATATTAGCTCAACTCTCGTGAACCCGAAATATGGAAACTAGAGATTCTAGGTTCAGTTCCTAGTGGAGTCGCCAATTTGTTGACGACTACTTAAGATTTCAAAATTTAAAACAAATAATGAAAAATAAAATGTGAAAAATATAAAAAGGAGTCGCCACTTATCTAAATTGTGAGGTGGGATAAGTCACCTAAAAATGAGTTTACGTAGAGATCGGGATTTCCAGATTCGGTTAGGAGTAAGAAAGGGCATTTGTGCACCTCACAATTCTCTGTATAAACACAGTTGTATACTTTCACATTGGGGCTTTAATTCAACTTGAAAAAATGAAATGGACCAAAATGTGACATTTGAAAGACCTTTGAGTTAAATCTTACCAAATTAAAGAAACATGCATGCATAATTGTATGAAACTAAAAGTTGAAGGACTAAGTTGATAAAAATAGAATTTTAAAGGACTGATTTGAATTTATTTGAAAGCTAATGGATCAAATTGCTCAATCATAAAAGTTTTGGGTGAAATTGAAATGAAAGAAAGGTAATTTTTGACTTTCAAAACTTTGACTTTGGCTTAAACCTTTGATTTAGATTAGAAAAGTTAACCCAATTAACAGCAACTAATCATGATAATTAACTTAATTAGATGATTAATTTAATATTAATTAAAATTAATTAATTATATTCATTAACTTTTAATTAAGACAATTAGATAAATCTAATAAAAATAATTAGACACTACTAAAAAACCTAATATCACCGACAAGAAATCATGTCAGAAACCAAAAGGAGTCTCATCGGTAAAAACAATTTCCAATTTGAATCATGTCGATGATGTATTTGTCGGTGTAAGTCTGCTCGGTAATCTATTTACCGATGTGAATTAAAATCACGTCGGTAAATTAATCCAAATTACCGACAAAAAGCATGTCTCTAACTTGTTGGGCCGGAGTTCATTTTAGGTAAGTCATGTCGGTAAATTAGTACAAATCACCGACGAGAAGTATGTCCCTAATCTACAGCTAGTTTACTACACGCAAACTAATCACTGATAAGTCACATCAATAATTTACCGACAAACCTAACGTTGGCACTAGATATATTTTTATAATATTCCTCATTCTTTCACCGACAAACCTACCATCGGAAACATTCATGAATTTGCAAAAAAAAAAATAAAAATTTATAATATCCCTCATTCTTTCACTGACAAAGCAAAAAAATTGGTATATGAATTTACCCCAAAGCAAAATTTAATCAAGTTACCTGCAAGAATATTGTTGGTATGGAAGTCTTTTGCCAAAAAAAGAAAAGAGTTTGTTTAATAAATATTGAAATTAATATGTATTTTTATTTAAGTTAATCTATTTATTGT